ATTTATATTTCAAACAGTGCGCATGCGCGGGAGGCTTAATTTCAACCAAATTGCAGCTGGTTTGCGTGCGTTGTAGTAGTTTTAGTCCAAATGCCTTAAAACATGAACGACCTACTAAACATTCGCGGCAGGACACGGCATAGAATCTTTCGTCTCATTTCTTGCCAGTGTGCAGTTTACCGTGCGAGACAAAATAAGATGGGTCTAAAATTTTGAATTATTTTTCAAGACACAAATAATCCGTTGAATACCAACTTCAGGTAAGCAGTCCAAGTTTCTCTGTGTTCGTATCATGAAAACATGCAGTATTTTAGAAATTCATGTAGCTGAGCATCAATTACGAAAAATACGTTGACAATTTTTGACTCAAAATTTCTGTCCCGACTATGACATGAAATTTAGGTCTCTTTTAAGTCAGTGATAGACATTAGAGAAGCGAAGTCGCAAACTTTTAATGACTGAATTTGTAGATTCCGTGGAAGTACTGCTGGAAATCTTTATGTTACGCCTCGTGCAATTTTTGAGAACTTTTCTAGAAGGAGTAAGAAGTTTATTTGAAATGATGAGCATACAGCCCCGGGGAAAAATTGGGACAAAAAATTTCTAGATCAAGAGACTCGGTCGAACTGAACATGAATAACTGAATTACTATGATACTGGAATTACGACTTTACCAAACAAACTTTAACTAAACGGCAAAAGTTATCTGTCGACCTTTTGTTGATCGTCCTGATGGTTGAGTATGTCCTGACGTTTCAAGAAACCAGATTGTGTACGGTGATTTTTCAGACATTAAACCGCAATTCAAAGATTGACAAACAAATGTTTACATGCGGGAATGAATTCCCTATTAGTCTTTTTCGTAATCCCACACTAAAAGTAAAAAATTTCTACCACGACATATTGCAGTATATTAAAGAGCCACTACAGAAAACATCATAACCTTTAGCACACAGAGAGAGGGATTCTCGATCATACGGCCGGATTTTTAATAGTTTATTTCCTTTAAAATGAATAGTCAAGAGAAAGTACACAACGCTTGACAATGAATTAGCTAAGTCTGTTTGGTTTGCATGTCTCGGCACGATTTTCCGCACCTACTTTCATTCTGAAAATTATTCTGTATTTTATCAGTTGAATAGGATTCTTTTTCGATCAATTTGGTTGTTTCTTAAAGACATTACAAAATCTCGCAATGGACACTTTGTAAACTATGATCCTAATCAGCTCGCGGGGGTGATACATGAGAAATTTTTTCACATTTCAATCTTTAGAACACTCGCATCTGCAAATCATTTGCCTCTATGGGGGTGCAATGGATTTTTACCTCGAGATATTTCGCGGAGTCATCTGAAATTCGTGTTAGGTTTTGTACTTATTAAATTTTAACAGACAGCACTCAAGAGTGTTTCTAGAAAACCTTTAAATCATTCAACCATTAGTTTGTAAATTAGCTTAACCGTTGCTCTGAATCACTGTGAGAACAAAGAATAGAACTCGACCTCAGCATTTTTTTTATTTGGTCTTTTGGTAGAACGAGAGTCAGGATGACTGCGCAGTCGATGTTAGTCGTTTTAACTGTTAAATACCTTGCAGGCTTCGATAAATATAAGCAGGAAGATGAGGGCATAGTCCACTCAAGCTTGACACACTGAACGAATTTCTTTTAGTCTTTCCCAGTAACTAATTGAAAATCCTCCAACGAAGTCATCATACTGGTCCCAGAATTGTAATCGGGAACATTCGTTTTTGAAGAAGCCTTTTGCATCTAGTTTCTTTTTTAACTTCAAAAGCTAAACTTTCAGTGTCTTCTGTTCTAGAGCCAAAGCTTTCGTTATCCAGTGGACGAATGACTTCGTTTAAGTTTCAAGTTATTCCTTGGAGGACGAGATAAGGGTATGATAAAACTCAATCAACAAATGCTAACATTAATCACGTACTTGTTAACGTTAACATGCTGTGGTTTAAAGTTTGTCTTTTTCACTTTCTTAATATTGGAATTATGACTTTACCAAACAAACTTTGGCAAAAGGGCAAAAGTTATCTGTCGACCTTTTGTTGATCGTCCTGATGGCTGAGTAGGTCCTGACGTTTCAAGAAACCAGATTGAGAACAATGATTTTTGCAGACACTAAACCGCAATTCAAAAATTGCCAAGCAAATGTTTACACGCGGGAATGAATTCCCTATTAGTCTTTATCGTAATTAAAATTAAAAATTTTCATTACACGTACGAGACCAAACAGGTGTGAGTAAACGATAGCCTCCATTTGGCGCGAAAAGATAAGAAAATAATTTTTCGAGGAAAAATGTGACCATTCTTAAGAGTCAGAAATTTTTCAAGGCTTGGAGGGTGAATGCAGGCCAAGTTAGTGGGATTTTTGTCACACTTGAAAGTTTTTCATCCTATTTCTTATCTTACGTATATGTAGGATTCTTTTTTCAATTTTTTCTTCTCTTCCTTTACTTTTCCGCGCCACATCTTCAACGTCATATGGTACTTGTTCTTGCAGACGTCACAGCAATAATGCTAGCAAAGGTCAGTGGACAGATTTCACTTTTTGTCGTGCTTTTCATGACTCAAATGTTGCACAGCATTACCAGCAAGCAGTGTAGAGCAAGCATCCACTCCATTTTCCAAATGATGCTCAGGGGCCACACCTTTATGACGATCGAGGGCCGACAGGGCGCCGTCGCGCTGAAATGCCGGGAAGCTTGTCACGCTGATCTCAGATGTCAAAGCTATAACATCGTCATACTCAATTCAAAGTGCGAGTTAAATAACCGGACCAAGGAGGCCAGACCTGAGGACTTTGTCAAGGACAAATACAGATATTACATGGCGAGTGACTCAAAACGAGGTAAACGAACTTATATCAGTATCAGAAATAACCGATTTCTCCTTCAAACTTCTAATAATTACCTCGTTCAAGGATTCTACATCGGTACTCATCATTGTTTCTAACTTTCGTCTTCCTGTAAATGAATTTGTTCGATTCCAGTCCCTCTCGGCTCCATTTCTGAGTTGCCTGCCTATTCGTGCAGAGAGATTAAGGCGAGTGAGGGAGGACAAGTGGTCAGCGGTAATTACTGGTTGGATTCCAGCAGGTCTGGAAACCCTATTCTAGCTTACTGTGACATGAAAACAGAAGGTAAGGAAGACAAATATTTACTGATGACTTTGATCATGTGTAAGTAAATGTTATTTGGAAATGTTTAATTTCCCATTTAGTTGCAGATTAGTGCATCCAACACCAGTGCCAAAACAGTGCAAGGTGTGTAAAACAACACGTCAACTACACGTGTGTGTGTAACTCATCCGGGTGGACTGGAAACTTTTGTGAGCAAGGTAAATTCAACGCTGTACTCTTTGCTTCCTGTTATAAAAAGGAGGTCAGCTGATGGTATCATTATTATGCTTATCGTAGACGTCAACGAATGTGAGAAAGGTCTGCATGGATGCCATGCTGAGCGG